ATAAAAGATGCAAACAAAGTAATTATGCAATATTAACTTACATTTGTCTTTGTGTCTGCTTGAATCTGTTCTGGTTGTTTTAATGATCCATAAGCTGATGTTTGTCAAGAAGAGGCACAGCTTCAAACAGTAATGTAAATACTGGACATATTTGGTGTTCATCACCAACTTTGGACTGGCACCGCATAACCCATGCCAGATGTTTGCATACTGCACCCTCAATGTGTGTGTCTGTCTGGAACAGATGGAACAACTGGCTGCACAAACTGACAATGTGCTTGTCTCAAACAGCCAAGTTCTACATCACATTCCTGCACAACAGYCCATCCACACACACAAACACACACTCACTGCTCGCACATGAGCTTTTTGTTCTGCAAAACAAACTGGGAGAAGTTTCACAGCACATGCAGCAAACAGCATCATTTATCTTCCTTAAGAAACATGCACAACAGGATGTGGAAAGCAAAAACGAGCAGGTCTGGGAAGAGACGAGGCGGAYGGGAGGCCGGGCAAAGAACAAAATCTGGAAAAGTGGAAAAGGAACGACATTTACTTTTCAAAAGTGCAAAGTTAGGAGCGTAGTTTTCAGAGCAGCAGAGGACGTGAAGTGGGCCAGAAATAAAGGGGGGGAGAAGGGTAAACGGCTGCAACACGATACAATTAAATGTGTGTCAACAAGTGGTATAAATAACCGCCGGCGTGCACGATCAGGTTCGCACCCACGTGCACGGTCCCACACAGGCGCAGATGCAATAAATGTACACCTTCCAAACAAAAACAGGCGAGGAATTTCAAAGTGCCATTGTTTCATTCTGCGAATGCATCCTGCCTTTATTGCCACAAACAAAACAGGACCGGTGGATGACAGCTGGGATCCCTGTGATTTCCAGCCGCGCTCGTCGCTTTGAAGTCAAACACACTTTCATCCAGTGAGCTTTTTATTCTCTGTCGTATGTTATCTTGACTTAATGGCGCTTATCTTATAGCTAACAAATCTCACAGAACTGTAATGGTTATGTGCTTCTATGCTCATATATCCAGAAACATGAATCATCACAGTTATGTGGCTTATAGCCTGAACGTTATGTTCTCGTGAAAATGTGAGCATATTTTCTCTCGTCCATCATCTTTTTCTCTTTTTCTTTTCATGTTTTAGTGACTTCCTTCGGCCCTACAGCAGTTAGGCAGATGTTTTAATTTTGGAGTCTTTTTTTAAGCTTTTGATTGTGAGGCCTTTCATTTAGGCGTGAGTCAGAAATGAGTCAAYGTGACTCTGTAACACTTTTTACTTGACAACTCAAGAACCCTGTAATTATTATTCTGACTAAATTCCCACTGAGAGCTGAAATATCCACATAATTTTTTTTTACTTTGCTACTGTTCAGTTTTAAATATGTCAGTCATTGCTTAAAGGAATACATCCAGACATTATTTGGCAGTTCAGTCGCAAATACTGACGTAATAATCCATAAAATGTCATAGAAAAAACAAACAAACAAACTAATGGGTTGAAAAATATGACCTAAGTAGAATATAAAGACATCTTACACAGCACCTGGAGAAAATAAATTAAAAATGTCTGCATTCCTAGAGACTCTAACCCCTAATGCGAGCTCCACAGTAAATATGCAACCATTCTAATCAATGAGAGTATTTACACTGGCTCCATATGGAGGCACAGGGTGGTGGTGAGCAGACGGCGATCCGCCAAAATTAGATTTGATCCTATTTTTGCCAGACACCAGAGCTGCACCAGAGTCAATCTACAAAARTCACGTCGCACCAACAGGAAAAGGAACAAGCACAACATTCGTATTTTCAAAATAACTCACTAAAGCCATTCTAATTTTGTTGAAATCCCAGCTATATTATTAAATATATGGGTATATTTATTCACAAATGCTGTCAAAATTTATTGTTCCGTTTGGGARGTAGATGGCAGCATGTAGCATGCAGCATATGCCTACACACATAATACACATGGATTTTATTTTGAAATCAGATATTTCAAAAAGACAGCGGCAATGCAGTTTCAACTGTGTTTAGAGTCCGCCTTCCACATAATTAATTATTTTGCTCTGACTTCCACATTTATCACTGGATTCAATGCGCGATCTCGCATTTCCTGCACACATTTTTTGGACATCCTCTGTGCTTCACACCGGAGCGGACCGGAGCGGAGTGGATGCTATATACATTGGGGTGCAAATGAACGGCGGTGAACTGCGCAGCGCAGCGGAGCCGAATGGAACTGCATGTAGTGTAAATTAGGGGTAATTACGCAACAAAATGCATTTAATGACTAAAAACATGGATTTTGCATGACATGTCCCCTTTAATCAGCTGAAAATGTACATATAATCGATTGTTTTCTGGACATTTTATTAACATACATATTAACCCCTTCGGACATTTATCCATATAACGAGCCTCAAAAATCCGTAATCTTCACAAAAAAATCCATAATAATCACATGTGCGGGGGATGGGGGGGGGGGGCAGGTGGACTCTCGGCCGTGGCCATTACTGGCTGCAGCAAAGCAGGAGGACGTGAGGATGGGGCAGCAGAGCGGGTTGGAAGATGGTTATTTGATGTTATTTGTTGATTTTAAATGTCCTACAGGCTCTGACATGTTAAATAAATTTGAAACTGAGTTTTTGAAAAAATACGTAAAACATGAAAAAATTCACGAGATTGCTTTATACGACCTTAAACCAGCAAAATGATGGAAAATCTGTGTAAATTACAAACAATCCATACAACTTGACATGTATGGTATGTTTTAAGATCTATCCACTGGTTGATGAGATTTTTTTCTAAAAGACAGACAAACGCACACACATGCACACACACACACAGAGACAGTCACATTATTGTCTGCCTTTTATGCCATTAGGTATTTACTAGCAGAGCATCACAAAAAAAAGAAAGAAAGAAACACCACCATCAACATTTGAAGAAAATTGTTAGCCACAGTCAAGTTATTTAAAAAGGTTCATTTCTGGAAATAGTTTTTACGATGCCCAAACAAATTGTTTGCTGTAAACTTGTCTCCAGTTTCTTTCAGCAGCAGCAGTGTGCAAATCTTCTTTCCTCTTTTAAAGCTTCTCACTCAATTTGCAACTTCAGGCATCAAATCCCAGCCTCTGTTGCTTGCGCACACTCCCCGTCTTTGAAGCAGACGTAACTGTAGATTGTGTGGACAAGCCAAACCGAGCCAAACCTCTGCACAGTTACCACTGGTTACCACCTCCGTAGCCAAGAACACAGCCTTCCCCCCACGAGATCAATCTATGAGCTTCACAAGTGAATCCTGTCGAGGTTCTCAGAGAGGTGCTCGGGGAGGATAAACGGAAAGATAACTGAAAGTGTGCAAAGACAGCTGGAGTCAAACACTGAACATAATTACTCTGGTAAACCTTTAACTACATCGAAGAATCTCCAAACATCTACTCTTGGCTTGTAATGTGGTTGGTGTGACAACACATAAAAATGCTGCAGAGAAAATGAGTACGACGGCTGTGTTGGGGCCATCAATGGGACTTACAATAAGGCTATTTGTAAAAGAATACTTGTGTAAACTATTGTCAGGTTTGGAGGTTGTACTCTGGTAGCTTGAGAAGGGTCCAAGCTGAGTGTGTTTGCTCATGCTATCACTGGTGGCTTGGTGTTTACAAATGTTTAAACAGTTGCAGAGGAAAACCAGGGCTGCATTACTGCAGTGTGATCTGGAAACAATTTTGAGGTTTGAAGGAGTTGGGCAGATCAAAACGTTTGATGGCTTAGCCCTTACCCCTGTCTTCAGAAGCTGACTTTAGAGCACCCAAGAAAGGATATAAAAATCTATAGAGAGTGTTTCAAAACGAAATCAAAGAACTAATATTTTTAAATTTTATATCACTTAATGGTGCTGTGTATAGGATGAGTGCTATCTAGTGGTGAACAAATGAAAACTATTTGGTCTCAGTCACCCGTTCAAACTGTTCAAATTGAACATCTCATGCAAAATCCACTTTTTTAGCCATTAAATGCATTTTGTTGTGTACTTGGATACGGAGCCCGCGAGGGGACATGGGGGGATTTTTTTCTTTTGTGTTCCCACGCAATACTATTGCGTTACCTCATAATACTTTTGCGTTACCTCGCAATATCTTTGCGTAACCTCGCAAAACGTTTAGCGTTACCTTACAAACGTTTGCATTACCTCGCAAAATTGTTTTGCGTTCCCACGCAAAAATTTGTTTTGTATATGAACTGAATTAAATCAGACTTTTATTTTGAAATATCCAGTTACCAAAACAGGATGTGTCGCCACAAGTTCGTGAAATTGACATTGATGTTGCGGGGCTGCACTGTGTTAAAATATTGGCATATGACATACTTCCATGCGTGGCTGTGTGATATATTCATTCTGAAGCCGAATAGTAGTAGGCTAACTCATGAATGCTGAGCATGTGAATTTGTTAATAAACCAGCAGGCACAACAGTGATAAACGACTTTTGCGAGGGAACGCAAAAGGTATTGCGAGGTAACACAAAACTATTGCGTGGGAACGCAAAAGAAAAAAATCTCCCATGTTCCCTTGCAGGCTCCGTACTTGTCCCTAGGAGTCTAGGAGTGCAGAAAAATGGAATTTAGACTTTCCTGGTGCTGCAAAAATATCTTCCTGTGCGTGTCATATGGTTAAACCTGTTCGGTTTTCTCTATTTTCTATGACATTTTCTGAACTTTTTTGTCACAGTGTTTGCAACGGAACTTCCAAATAAGGTCCTGGACTTTACCAACTAGGGCTGCCACAAACGATTATTTTAATAATCGATTAATCACTGATTATTTTTTCGATTAGTCGACTAATCGGATCATATGTTAATTGAATATAAAACATAGAGCTTATCGTGCCAGAATGCAGCTGCTATTATATAACCATGGTTAGATTTTAGCTATATGCTAACTAAAAATAATTGCTGTGGAAGGTAATGTGGCAATTAGAGTTTTTTCACCTGTTGCTCCATGATTGGCTGACACTCTGAGGAGCACGGCTGCAGCAGGTTCCACTGATGAGCACCAGGGGTTTATTAGACGGCACTGAAGAACAGGACCTCGCCGGAGCAACACATATCTATGGTATTTGTGCCTGGCCTGCTTAACCTGTGAATCCTCTGAGATTACTTACTTGTGTTTTTCTATGTTTAGTGAACTCGTTCTTGGTCCTGTGAACCCGTCTGGAAGATCTACTCCCTCTGCTCATCTGCCTGTCTGCCTCCAACTAAAAAGGAAAATACTCACCTGCCTTAACTCACCTGCTTCTCCTCCTCRCACCTGCAAACCAGAAATTACCGGACTTACCTTTGTGGATCCTCGTCTTCTCCTCCAAGTTGCTCTCCCACTTTCCTCCCGTAAGCAAATCCTTTTTATTCACCTTCAAGACACCTCCTAAGAACTTTACAATCGATACTCACCTGGTCTCCTTCCTTTTCAGCTGTCCCAACCCGTCCCATCCTGTGCACTGTAAATAAAAACACTTATTGTTTACTTGGTCTCATGTATTGTTGTTTTGTATCAGATCCGCTCCTCTTTGATCATTCATAATCCTGATAGGTAAGTCCTGCTCTGCAGATATTRCACAGGTTTCTCTTTCATTTTCTTAAAAAGATCCCACACTTTGAGCTCTGTTGTCAGGTAGCCATGATACCAGAGCCTGTCTGTTTAATGTCTTGTGACGTCCACGGCCTACCCCAGTTACCACTACTGTGCATGTGTGTCAAGGACAGAAAGGCAGATGTGGCAGTGGAAGGTGTCAAAGCAGTTTGGAGAGAAAAACAAAGTAAAAAACAAAAAAAAAAACAAAAAAAAACGATTAATCGATTATTAAATTAGTCATCGATTATTTTAATAATCGATTAGTCATCGATTAATCGATTAATTGTGGCATCCCTATTACCAACTACAATTTCATTGTCTTCATTCTTCTCTGGCTCTGGGTCAGACTCTGGCTCCAACATGTAAGGCCGGATGGACAAGTCTTCTATTGTTGACATCTTTTAATTAGTTACATTTCTTTACTGCTATATAGTCAAATACCCATCTATCAAACTAAAATGGAGTGGTCCGGAAGCTGGAGGGGGGCAGGGTGTGAAGCACCTTGTTTGGATTTAAAGAGACAGCATCAAAACAAGTTGATCTGAGACACACCTCAGAAAACGGGTGAAAAAGGGGCTTGTGAAGTTACAATAAGGAGGAATTCAGACTGAAACATTACAGTTCCACTTGATAAAAGATTTAAATGTGAAAAAGAAGGATTTAAAAGCAGGATATGTCTACTTTAAGACAGTGACTCTCGAACTTTTCACAACACCCAAACCCCCTRGTGGTGCCCCTGATCCTCAAAAACACTTTCCATTGGCCAATATACAGTAACACATGTAAAACCAGACTACTGGTTTTTATTCTTGTACTAAGAGATTTCAGATTAACTGAGTATCTGACATGAACAAGGACACTGATCAACCTACGACTGGCTGACCGTTGTTTCCTTATATCTGTGTAATTTTTGTATCTGCTGCCTATATAAAACCAAAGCAAAAAAAAGTGGATCTGTGTGATCTGATTTGCACATAAGGCCCCAGGGTGAAATCACTAAACATTGTTTTCATTTTTTCATCTTTGAAAAACCGTATAATATTATGTTGTTTAAGATGGTATATCTAAATATAAATGGCTTCAAATTTCGACCACAGGCAGCTTTGCAGATTTCTACAAGTCAGCACTGGAACCGAACATTTTAAAACTAACTCGTTGACCTCTAGCTCTGAAAAAAGCTTGAAAAAAAAAAAGAAAAAAAAAAGCTTTAGTCAATCACCACATTGCAATATTGATGGGAAACAAATTTCAGAGTGAATAAAACAAAGTCATATTGTCCTCTAACTTGGCAGAAAAAGACCAGATGAGCTGGAAATCTCCAACAAATTCCAGTGGTTCGTCTGCAGCTGTTTTTCACTAAAACCACACAAATAAAAAAAGAAGTTCCCTGGTACAGTGCTGCTTTCCTTTCTAACGACCCTATGATACAGTATAAAGCTACATGCATATTCTGTTTCCGATTATCTTTATATTTTGTTTAAGAATCMCAGCATCAAAGCAGGAAAACACATCAAAGCATAAAATGTCAGTTTAAATCAGTGTTTTTGTTCTCTACATGTTCAAGCAGAGAAAACAAAGAACATAAATTATGCAGTGCTACCAGCTGCACTCACCTATTAATAACTTTAACAACGTTTAAGGCATGCCATAGCTGTCCATATGTCCTTATAGACACGTTGTGTTCACACACTTGTGTGCTCTTTTCAAAATATACATCTGGCGAATGTTCCCATCTTAAACTGGAACRTTGTGAGACACTGTTTACGTGTGTTGAGAACAAATCAATGAAACAAATAATCAACTCAAAATTGCTCCCCAGAATGGACTTTCAAAAAACACTTTTTCTACTGTTGCTAAATGTTGTCAATAACACAAAATGTGTTACTGCAGACATAATATAGCATATTAATTTAGATTTTTCTCAACATTTCAGCCTGAAATACAGATATTGATTTTAAATTGTGGCATACACATTAATAGAAATAAAGATTAGCAAGAAAAATTTTTTTGTACAACTGAACCAGGTCCATAAGTGATTATGGACAGAAGAGAACACTGGGCCTCATGCAAAAACATGTTCGTATTCTTATCCTAAATTTCTCTTACTTTTGTTCGTACAAAGGGTTC